CCTCCCGCCCGAGGCGCGGCTGCTCGCGGACACGCTTGAAATGCAGCGTTATTTCTCAAAATAAACGCGGAATGGCGTCAAAGCGCGCCCCGCGACCGGCGCCGTGCGGCGGTGGTTCCTGCCCTTCGTGCCTGGGGTCGATGTGAGAGAACTTCAGTTGCTCCCCCCCACAATAACGGCTGAAATGCTAGCAACGGTAATTTGAAATTTGAGAGTTACTGTTACAAGCTGACATTCTTTTTACATGACTACCCAGCAGCGTTTTGCAGTGCAGGGTAATTTGTTCGTGGGTGTTTTTATCTGCAAATGAGTAAATAAATTATTATCTTTGGCTTTTTTGATCTGAACACCTAACACAGCAGCACTGTTTGCAGCTTTATCAATAATAAGATATGCATGATAGGCTGCCTTTTTCTTCCTCTTACCCCCCCCCTTTTTTTTTGCTGTTGAAAATATTAACTGCGGAAGAATGAAACTTTAAAGATTGTGAAAGGGTGTATTTTTATTCTCCAGTGCCTCTTGGGATCATGCCCAAATTTATTTCTACATATGTTTTAGTTACTTTCCAAACTGTAGTACTATAAAGCATTACAGTTCTCAAATCTAGCTTTATTTTTTTCCTTCCAAAATAGAAAGCACTTTTCGCTTCCTGTGCCTAGCGCAATGAAAATCCTGTCCCGTTAGAAACCTCTAATATTCATCTACAGTTCACCCTTAAAAAAACCCAAAACCTCTTCTGTATTCTTTCCTCTAATTTATCTTAACTTTCTTTTCTTTTCTCCTAGTTCTCCTTTGAATTTTCTACCATCTGTAGCAATGTGTACATAGTGATTCATCTTTAGAGAATAGAAAAGGCATCACCTATAGCTATAGATATCTTCCTTGGCAATGGGGAAACCTGTGTGAGAGGAATGGGAGTGAAAACAGGTAAAACCCTGTTCTTGTTACTCATGTAAGTAGTTCCATTAATTTGATGGGATTACTTGTTTGAGTAGAGCAAATGGGATTGAACCTTGTTGGTTATATTAAATGAACCCAGATAGCCTGGTAATTGAATATACTGGAGACTGGATTTCTATCTTTTATTGACGTTCTCTTTTAGTTCTGAAGAAATAAAATATTTGAATACTTTCCGTATTTGTTGAAAATGGATGGTTGTCTCCTTAAGCTGCATGATGGAATACCGATCATAACACACAGCAGGGTTTTGTACACCCCTCAATCCCCCTTTTTTTTCTCCCCTCAATCTGCTGTTTTGGAATTGCTTTTTGAAGTTACTAATCAGCTAGGAGACTACACCTGTCAAGGGAGCAGGGCTTGCTTATCTGCATTGAAGAACTTGTACAGAATGTGCCTGATGGCACAGGGAGCTGAGGGTCTCTGACATGGTGGTTTCCGCAGGAGCTGACGGTGTCCACGGGTTGTAGCAAGTGCTCAGCACCTGGCCGGACTGGCTCCAAACAGAGCCCTTTTAGAAACACAGCATTAATGTTTTTCTTATGCAGCCCCATTCCTAATGCTGCTTTGTTATTCTAGGTTACCGTCCTATTCCAACAGAACCTTACCTGGGAGGGAATTCACACTTGCCACCTCCTGTAAGTGACAGAATGAGAAAGAGACGGGCTTTTGCTGATAAAGAGTTGGAGAACATTATGCTAGAGAGAGAGTATAAAGAGAGGGAGATGATGGAAGCTACACAAGCTGCTGCCCTTTTCCTCCCTAACCGCATGGTGCATGGAGCTGAATACAACTCCTATAAAACAGCCTTCAACACTACTCAAGTTGATACTCCAAACAAGGAGTTTTGCAATTTTTTACCAACCTGCCTTGATCTAACCATGCAGTATTCAGGATCTAGCAACATGGAACTGATTTCTTCAAATGTCAGTGTAGCTACTACCTACAGGCAGTATCCCCTGCCTTCTAGGTTCTTAATGTGGCCAAAATGTGGCCCCATTAGCGATGCTCTCCTCTACCAGCAATGCCTGTTAAATGCTACTACTGTTCAAGCTCTCAAACCTGGGGCAGGTTGGGATGCCAAGGTCTCACAAAGTCAGGACTGTCCAAATACTGAGCATGACATCATGTCTCCAAAACTGGAAAATTCACTTGTTCTGACCCACATGCAAGACATTCAGCAGCCATGTAATGAGATGCCGTGCCTTCCTCAGGAAGCTCGTGAAAGGTCAGCTTTCTCTCCTCCAAAAAAGACTTTCTCTCAGATTTCTGATAAGGATTCTCTGGCTCATCAGGAACAGGTATTAAGCAAGATCAGCAAAAGCAGTACCAAACTTCCTTTCAAATACAGTCCGTTTCAGTTGATGTTCCACCAAACGTTTCCTGACAGATCAGGAGCAGAGCTGAGAACATCATTTGTGAAAGAGACTTTCGAAGATGCTTCTAAAAAATACAGAGAGTGTGCCATTAAAGAGAACCAAAAATACAAGTTTACAACAGATAAATGTGCAAAAGACATTTTTGGGGCCAAACAGGTAACAGCAAAACTTTCAACAAACGAGCCACTGTCATTTTCAGTTGAATCCATCCTTAAGTGACGTTCTTCTGCAGTTGCTAATGTCTCTCAGTGAATAAACTATACCTTCAGTGTATAGAGTTTGTGTGCTTTGCCTTCTGAAGAATTGCTACTGCCTGCCTTATCTTTTAAAATATTTTTTAAAAAATAATTTCTGCTGTAAATGGTAATTCTTTCTTTTATCTCAAAATGATGTGCATAAATATGCATGATTTCTCTTCTGAAAAAAATAAAGATATTTAATTTTTTTTTTTTTAAATGGAAACTGCATGTACAGGCTGTAAAATGCTATTTTAAGCAGCACTTCAGACCATTCAATAAAATGAGATTGCTTACAAGCATAGATGTATTCCTGGTCTCTGTTTTGTTGCTAGTATCTCAGAGGTGAGTATGCCCTGTTTTCAGAATATACTTATGCTTTTTTTGTGCTATTATCCATTTAGTTACTAGTTATCTTGGTGGGGTAAGTGGCTTTGAACCTCCAGTAAATAAAAGAAGGGGTAACAAAGGTACACACAGACTAGTGTGAATTTGCAAGACTTTTTTTTAATAATGTAAGCAAGGTTTGGATCAGATTCCAAATGCCTTTCCTATTCTGATATTCTGAGTGGGGAGTGCATGCTAGCATGAACGGCTGGTGTATTCTGCATCTCTCTGTAAAAGCTTCTGTTCCTAAAGCAGAAGGGTTACTAGATTGGATTTGAGGAGAATGGCTCTTGTGAGCTTCTAGACAAAAAGTAAGAATTTTTTAAAAATCAGGTTTTGAAGAAAAGATCTTTTTCTCTTTTTCTTTTTCTTTTTCTTTTTCTTTTTCTTTTTTTTTTTGCGTTTTTTCTTTTCCTTTTCCTTTTTCTTTTTCTTTTTTCTCTTATCTTTTTTTTGTCTTTTTCTTTTTTTTTTGATGTTTTTAATGCTGACTTTACTCTGGATTTCCAGCCCCTAGTATGTTTTCCTATGATTATTGTGCTGGGGTAAAAATGATGCACAGAATTGTAACTGCTAATGAGAAATTAAGTCATGATCTCTCAGTAATTCTATGTCCTTTTGCAGGGATAGCAAAAATAAAGGAGATCAACCACTAGAATTTACCTAGAACCCTGAAATGCCCTCAAGGCTGTAGACAAAAGCGTTACCAGCTGACATTTCTGACTGAACTTGAAGCTTTCTAAATTCCTGATTTTGTAAGTTTTTCCTTGTATGTTACTGCTAGTGCATCTAATCATAGCCAACAATCCTTTGGTTACCTTCCCTAATATTTTTGTCCTGTAGACAGCACTCTGCCAATTGAAAGGAGCTGTGGTTTCTTAATTTTTATTATTTTCTAAGGACAATTTCTGTTTGGTATTTGTGAGCAGAATGCAGTAGTTTCTTACTTTATTATACTTGCTGCACAGGTTAAATGCTTATTTTGCTACAAATCTGAGCCTGTGAGTTTCTGATTCTGTAACTATCTCTGACAGTGTTTAGTATTTCTGTTGGGAGTGCTGCTGCTGAATAGCAGGACCCTTTTCATGGAGGGGAGGAGCTGTCTGTCGTGGGTGCTTTTTTAAGCTACTGTTAAAGCAACAGACACAGTGGAGAAAACGCATTTTAAGTAATTTTTAAAGAAGTCATCTTACAAAGCTCGTAAAATTTTTATGTCCGGAGTCTAAACTGCTCGGTTGTAATTTAGAAGAATCTTGGGCACTAGCTAAAGTTTCACTTTTCAAAAGCATTCATACTAAACAGATTTTGCCTAGCCGAAAATACATCTCAAATGCAGTGAGATGCTTTTCATTTTCTCAAACTCTATCCAGTTACCATTAGAGGGAGTTTTAACTTACTTGGGAGCTGAGTCTGCTTGTTAATCAGTTCAGCAGTCAGACTAAGCTAAGCAGCTTTTACCCAGAGTAAATGGAGAGAAATACTTCACATTTCAGATCTGTTTGCTTTCACCACAGCTTCCTTCTTGGCTTAGTTGAACATTAAATGCTAACAAGGGGTTTTAATTTAAGAAGGGTTTCATTTGTTATTAAAAATATGATTTGTTTTGTTTTTCAAGCTCCTGGCATAAACTGGGATGACAGATGAAACAGTTCAGCAATCTATGTAGTGAACCAATTTTGGATACTGGAATTAGTCCTGCATAAATATTTTTTGGCCTGACAGTGTATGCATCTAACATTGTTCAGTTTTTGCATCTGAAATATTTTTCCACTAAGTCACTTGTCTTTATCTCTTAAAAAAAGGCCAGAAAACCCAAACCTCTAACAGTCTCGTACCTCTTGTTCTTTTAAAGAACTTGTTGAACTGAACAAATCTAAACTCCGAAGATGTACTGAACACTAGTATAAGTAATCATAGAATTGTTTAGGTTGGAAAAGATTTTTAAAATCATTGAGTCCCACCATAAACCTAACACTGTTAAACCCACCAATAAACTATGTCCCAAAGCGACACGTCTACACATCTTTTAAGTACCTCCAGGGATGGTGACTCAATCGCTTCCCTTTGGAAACCCCAGCTCTCCTTACATACACTGGTCCATAGCAGATGTTTACACATAGAACAGAAGAAGTGCGAATTTGGTATAATGATTTGCAAGTGATCACATTTGTGTATCAATGATTACCACACTTTCACTTAAGAAAACAACATATACATATACTACACACACACACTTATATACGTAATATATGTATGTTTCAGATGGTTTTGTTCAAATCCCAATCATCAGGAGTCTCATTTCTATTATCATCCAAAAAAATGTGACCCTTGAGGTGAAACTTGGACAAATTTTTTGCTTCACTTAACAAATTATTGTTACTGGAGTCAGTATTTGGCCACTTTGTCTTGCTGCCACTTGCTTATGTCTTGCTTCAGTTCCATTAGCTGTTTCTCCCTGTACTTAGTTTTCTTTCATTTCACAGACCCTGGACCTTACCTCTCATGCGTTTTGAAAACTTGTTGCACCCAGATAACTTATTCTTTTTTTTTGTTAAAAACATGTATAAAAAATACGGTTCATGGAGAGGATGATTAGTAGCTTGAGCAAGGTAGCGTATAAATAGCGTGTGGTTTTCCTGACACATCTTTCCACTGGATGTGTAGCACTCTTGCCTCTTTCAGCCATACACTTCTCCAGAGCAGTAGTGACTTGTCCGCATGTGCTAGTGTGGCTGTGCAAACTCATGGAGAAGAGGAGAAGTCACTGCTCTGAAACTGCCCAGAACTTAACTGCTGGGCAGTGTCTCCCTGGTAGTAAGTCAGCTGTTAAAATATCCTATGCTCTCCTGTGCTCCCTGCTTCTTAAATACATTTTCTATGGCATTTGTTGGGTTTGTGGACGCCTGTGTCTCCTGTATAGAGTGACTAGTTTTCTCTGAGTATGAGATGCACCTTTGTGCTAATGGATATCAGGTCTGTATCATAGAATCATAGAATGTTTTGGGTTGGAAAGGACCTTAAAGATCATCTAGTTCCAACCCCTCTGCTGTGGGCAGGGACACCTTCCACAAGACCAGGTTTCTCCAAGCCCCATCCAACCTGTGCAGGGGCGGGGGCAGCCACAGCTTCTCTGGGCACCCTGTGCCACTGCCTCTCTACCATCACAGTAAAGATTTTTTTCCAACATCTAATCTAAATCTCCCCTCTTTCAGTTTAAAGCCATTCTCCCTTGTCCTGTCACTACTTATCCCTGTAAAAAGTCCCTCTCTAGATTTCTTGTAGGCCTCCTTTAGGTATTGGAAGACTGTTATAAGGTCTCTCCTGAGTCTTTTCTTCTCCAGGCTGAACAAGCCCAACTCTCTCAGCCTGTCTTCACAGGAGAGATGCTTCAACCCTCAGATCATCTTCGTGGCCTCCTCTGGACTCACTCAAGCAGGTCCATGTCCCTCTTCTGCTGCGGGTCCCAGAGCTGGACGCAGTGCTGCAGGTGGGGTCTCACCAGAGTGGAGAAGAGGGGCAGGATCACCTCCTTCAACCTACTGGTCACACTCCTTTTGATGCAGCCCAGCACACAGTTGGCTTCTGGGTTGCAAGCGCGCACTGCTGGGTCATGCTGAGCTTCTCATCAACCAACACCCCCAAGTCCTTCTCCTCAGGGCTGCTTTTAGTCCATTCTCTGCCCAGCCCATAGCTGTGCCTGGGATTGCCCTGACTGTGGTGCAGGACCTTGTACTTGGCCTTGTTGTACTTCATGAGGCTGGCACTGGCCCATCTCTCCAGCCTGTCCAGGTCCCTCTGGATGACATCTCTTCCCTCCAGCATATCAATCCCACTACACAGCCTGCTGTCATCGGCAAACTTGCTGAGGGTGCATCAGTCCCACTGCCCATGTTGCCAACAAAGATGTTAAACAGCACCAGCCCTATTACTCACCCCTGAGGAACACCACTTGTCATTGCTCTCCAATCGGACATTGAGATACTGACCACAACTCTTTAAGTGATCATCCAGCCAATTCCTTATCCACTGGGTGGTCTGTCTGTCAAAGCAATGCCTCTCCAATTTAGAGACAAGGATGCTGTGTGGAACAGTGTCAAAACACTGCACAAGTCCAGGTAGATGTTGTCAGTTGCCCTTCCTCTATCCACCAGTGCCATGGCCCCCTCATAGAAGGCCACCAGATATTTCAGGTATGATTTGCCCTTAGTGAAGCCATGTTGGCTGTCACCAATCACCTCCTTAATGTCCACGTGCTTTAGCATAGTTTCCAGGAGGACCTGCTCCATGATCTTGCTGTGGACTGAGGTGAGACTGACTGGCCTGTAGTTCCCTGGGTCTTCCATCTTTCACTTTTTAAAAATTTCCCCTTTTCCAGCCAGCCGGAACTTAACTTCACCAGACTGCCATGACTTCTCAAATATGATAGATAATGGCTTGGCAACTTCATCTGACAGTTCTTCAGGACCCGAAGATGTGTCTCATCAGGTCCGATGGACTTGTGCAACTTCATGTTCCTTAGATGACCTTGAACCTGATCTTCTCCTGCAGCAGGTGGTTCTTCATTCTCCCAGTCCCTACCTTGGCCTTCTGCCACTT